CAGTGGAGACTGCCTTTGACGCATCGGCCGAGGATTGTGTCTTTGCGTCTGTAGCAGAGCGAGTCTCAGATCCAAGCTTCTGGGACAGCAAAGCCGCAGCCGAGTGCGACGAGCTCGCCGCACCTCGTGAAGCATGCAGATTGTCCAGGGCGCGACTCAACTCCGCAACGCCATCGCCCAGATTCTCTCCTGACTTTTCAGTTGTGGCAGCACCCTGCAATCCATTTCCAGTCTCTGCGCCGTCGGCTTTGTTGGCCATTTCCACCTTGAGATCTTCGACCTCCCTCCGCAGCCGCGCAAGCCTCCGCTCAAGCGACTCGTCCTCGCTGTCACTCAGATCACCAACCTCCTCTACCCCGTCCTCACGTCTCCGCCGACGACGGCGGCTCATGCTCTTGCTCCGGTAAGCCTGGCGTTTCATGGAAATGCTATCTGAGAAATTGACGTCGCGGGCGTCCACGGCCGCGCCCATGAAGTGCATACGCGCCTGGTCCGGGTTGACTCCCTCGCGGTCAATGTCGGAGTTTGAGCCTGCGTCATCATGGTCGGAGTCTGTGCGGACAGTGGCAGTCTAGAAAGCATCAGTTATTAGGTCCAATGATGTCTCGTTGGTATGGAATTGGCAGACTCACGGGCAAGGTGGATGCTTCGTCGGTCAAGTCGGGGGTTTCATAGATATCCGGGGATGGGTCCTAGGTCACATTTAGTGGGAATGCTAGTGGATATTAACAGCCGTCATTGCTCACTAGATCAGGAAGACCGGCATATTTCTTATTGAAAGACATGATTGGATTGTAGTTCTCCAAAGTATAGTAAACACCGAACTCTGGCTCCAGAATCACATGTACAGTCAGCAGATCAGGTGACCTTAGCCTCGGATTCGAGAACAAACACATGCAATTGACGCAATTGGCCGTGAAGCCCATTGATTGTCAAAGACAACTATATATTAGGTGAAATCGCTTGAAGATTCCTCTCTTTTCTTTCTTGTATTACCTAGAAGCTCAAGTTCCTCTTCAATTGACTAACTCGCCCTTTCGTTGCTCATCAACTTCCCCACTATCCCCGCATATCATCTTCAACCTCTACTATACAACTTATACTACATCAACCTTCAAGATGGCCGCCCCTATTGATGTTACTATCCAGAACCTGAGTGGGAAATGGGAGATGGTAAGCCCAACCAAACCATCAACGAAACAAAGCAACTCAAATTGAATACTGACATGTGTAACAGGACTCAACTCACTCTGACCCATCAGACCCTGTTCTCTCTCTGGTATGCAACCCTCAAGCCCTAACCGGTCTTCCCGCCAAGTTACCCCAAATATAAAACAGCCAAGCCTCTCGCAACCCCTGTCCCAATTTGCCCTCCAATCATACAACTTCATAATAACACTATTATTTATCCCCCCCCCCCCCCCCCCCCCCACTTGCACTATACCATACATAACCCCCATACATAAACCATCCAACAACCCCACTAACCATCCAAAACAGCAAGGTGTCGGCTGGGTCACACGCAAAGCCCTCTCCTACGCAACAGTGACAGTCAACGTGCACCAGTACGCCGACAGCGAGAACCCCACTCTCATCCACGTCGACGCACAGCAAGTAATCACAGGCGGCATCCAAGGCACCAAGGAAGAGCGCAAGCTTGACTGGACAGACCGCGAGCACGTCGACCACATCTTCGGCACGCTGAATGGTCGCTCGCGCCACATTGCCGCCGCTAAGAGCGAGGACGGCGCTGTGCGACCTGTCGTCGAGATCCAGACTAAGGTCGGCTCGCCTGAGGCTGATGCGAAGGTGCAGAAGTTCCTTACTGGAGAGACTCTTATTGATGGATCGAAGAGTGAGGGTTTCCTTGCTGAGGAGGGTGAGGGTGCGTTCTTGCAGAGCTTTGTGAGGAATGAGAGCGCTGGGTGGACTGCTGAGCAGGTTTGGGGCTTTGAGATCATTGATGGTGAGAGACGTCATACTCGTCGTGTTGTTGTTGTTAAGGGTGGGAAGGCTGTGTTTGCTAGACTTGTTTACGCTTTTAAGGAGCGTAGGGCTGAGGAGTAAATGCCTTTGCTCGTTTATTTTTTATTTCCTCGGGTTTCCGCTTCTTAGCTTGTTATGAAGCATAGGTCAATATAGCATTCGACGCATATAACTTTGGTTGATGATAACAAGAATAGTTGACGCTTATGCGGCCTTGTCATGTTTTTTTAGATATTCTTTTTCAGTTGGATACAAAGACGGTAAAACCATTGACTGTTCAAGAGAATTTCCTATGTATAACCTTTGATACATATTTGGGAAGCGTTGAGGTTGACCATAGACATCTTATAAGCTCATGGAATGATGAAGTGCGGGGATTTGGAGATTGTTCCATCTCCGAAAATCAATGTCATTATAATGCTACATCCACTATTCAATCTGGTAATACATGTCCATGTTCATATAAAAGCAAGCATATGGTTCAGATACATTCATTGAGATCCATGAGGCGTGTGTTTTGTTCAACTAAAAAAAGACAGAATTTACCATGCGAGTGATCGGCTAAAACAAAATCAAGAAAGAAAAAGAGGCAGATACCAAGATATTTACGAGTGAGTGGGCATCACCACGTGAGCCTTGGTGCTAACAGCATCCTCACTCCTCCAAAGGCTGGTCACAGTCTTCTGCTGGGTGTAGAACTGCAAGCCGGGCTTGCCGTAGAAAGTGTTGGCACCACCACCGGCAATACTCTTCTTGTTACCGGTGAAAGAGAACATGGGAAGGGGGACGGGAATGGGTACGTTGATACCGAGCTGGCCAGCCTCGCAGTCCTTCTGGAACCTGGAGGCGGTCGAGCCGGAGCGGGTGAAGATGGCGGCACCGTTGCCGTATTCGTTGGCGTTGATCATATCAATGGCGTCGTCAAGAGTCTCAACGTTGAGACACACGAGAACGGGACCGAAGATCTCCTCCTTGTAGCACTTCATATCAGGGGTGACATTGGTGATGATGGTTGGGCCAACCTGCGGGGACACAATTAGCTTGAGTTACACGCATGTAGATCATTTTCTGTAGTGGAACTTACAAAGTTACCATTGGGGTAGTTCTCAGGCTTGAAGCCACGGCCGTCCAGAAGAATGGTCGCACCCTCTTCCTCGGCGCTAGCAATCAAGTCTTCAATGCGCTTCTTGCTTTCGGGGCTGATCACAGGGCCGAGGTCAGCACCCTCCTCAAAACCACCGTTCACGTTTAGGACCTTCGCCCGCTCGGCGATTTCAGGCAGCCACTCCTTAGTCTCGCCAACCATAACGCAGGTGCTCAATGCCATGCAGCGCTGGCCAGCAGCACCGAATGCAGCACCGGTTATGGCATTAAGAGCCTGGTTCTTGTTGGCGTCAGGTAGGACGGCGGCGTGGTTCTTAGCACCTAGGTTGGCTTGTACGCGCTTGCCGTTGGCAGAGCCACGGGTGTAGATGTATTCACCAGCACGGTTGCTGCCAACGAAGCTGATAGCCTTGATAGCAGGCTCATCAAGAATGAAGTCAACAGTGGGAGCGGAACCGTGGATGATGTTAATCACACCCGGCGGGAAACCGGCCTCCTTGGCAAGCTCCGCCAGGATCATCGCAGCACCGGGGTCCCGCTCAGATGGCTTCATGACCAAGCAGTTACCGGTCACAGTAGCGACCGGAATACACCAAAGGGGAATCATGGCAGGGAAGTCTGGGTGACAATTAGCATCTATATGGAGGGAATTGAAATTTGTTGGCATGCGCTACTTACTGAAGGGGCAGATAGCAGCAACGACACCGAGCGGCTCGCGGTAGCTTCTTGTCTCCATATCCTTGGCCACCTCCAAGACCTCACCGGTCATCTGAGTGGTGATACCACAGGCGGTCTCGGCAACCTGAAGGCCACGGAGAACGTCACCCTTGGCATCGGCGAAAGTCTTACCCTGCTCAAGGGTGATAGACGCAGCCAATCGGTCCCAGTGGGTACGAATGAGGCTGGTAAATTTGAAAATAATCTGCTGGCGAGCCATGATGCTGGTAGCTCTCCAAGCGGGGAAGGCCTTCTCGGCCGACTCCACAGCGGCCTTCAGCTCCGCATCTGTGCTCTGGGGCACACGGGTGACTAGATTGTTGGTGGCAGGGTCATGGAGATCAATCCACTTGGATGCCTGCGATGACACAAACTCATTGTTAATGAAGTTAGCAGTGTCAATTGGGTTGGCGATCTTTTGGTGGCTTGTTGGGTATTCAGTAGGAGTGGAGACGGCCGATGTTGTTGCGGGGACGAGCCGCTGGGCTGTTGCGTGCAAGCCGCGAGTGGCAGAAAGCGATGAGTAGGGTACAGCTGTTCTATGAGAGACCAGACTGGCGAGGGAGGTGGTAGTAAGAGATCTGGAAGAAGCAGCTCTGGCAGTTACCGACACCGTGCGGGGAACTGCGCGGAGAGCGGGGATGGAACGGGCAATCGACCGACAAGCAGCCATGATGAATTCAAGAGAGGGATTGACAGATGAAAGACAGATGGAATTCAGAGATATGACAAGCTACAGGTTAAGTAGAAAGAGAAATGTAAGTGACGAAAGGACCTCGGGGATCATATACCAAAGGTTACCCCAGGCCCGAGGGAAAGCGCCTTAGTCACCGGCATTCCCCACGTTGTACAAATGAACCCCCCAGATAAGGTACCTTCTCGGCATTTTCAGCCAATGACAAGTTCACAATGCATTCTCGAATCGCCGACATTAACTAGCCCGCGTTTAATCGCTTATATTCTTTTTCGGGTTATCACGTACTAAACGTTGTAGGCAAGGGACCAAGTCAATTAGGAAAGTACTTCCCTTTTCAAGCTTGACTTTATGTTTTTATATCGTATGGGGACGTTATGACACTACTGATAGGCAATTGCTTCCGAGAGAGAAAAAAATGTGAATACCGAGTAGAAATAATAGAGATAGAGACAAGTATACAAATCGGGCCTCCAATCAATGTTCTTCATGAACCTTCTGACTACTACATCGGCCAAGACACAACAAGAAGGGGATCACGGCGGAAACTAAAATGCAAAATCTGGTCGCTGATTGGGTTTATGGGTAAAATTCTTTTCTGCGTATAATTGGTTTCCAATTATCGCGTTTACTCGGCGGAGGATCGGGTGGTGCGCTTGGTGGCACCGCCCTTGCTGGTCTCAGCGGAGGAGGTGACAGCCTCCTCCTTCTTCTCCTTGGGAGCACCGGCGGGCTGCTTGCCCTTCTTCTCGGCCGGGGCGGCAGGGCTGCTGGCGCTAATGGCACCCACAACGACGAGGATCATGGTCAAGAGGAGCGCACCCAGGCCACCGGCGACCTCAGGGAGGGTCTTGGCAGCGTTAATTGGGTCCTCCTTGGCCAGCTCAACGAAGTGGTTGACCTTCTGGCGGACAAAGGTAACAGGATCCTCCTGGAAAGTGACGGTGGTACCCTCCTCGTTGACCTCGGGCTTGGGCTTGGTAGCCTCCTCCTCAGCCTCCTCGATGGGGAACTTGACATCGAAGGTCTCCTGGCGGAGCTTCTCAGCATCCTCAACGGAGTGACCAATGTAGACGTTGTCAAACAGAATGTCATTCTGCATGGTCCAGATCTCGAAGCCAATGGCGCCCATGGGCTCAAGGTTGGATGGAGTCTTGTCCTCGAAGAAGGCGGGGTTCTTGATCTTACGGGGGGCCCAGACACCCTTGTAGGCAGGGTTGTCGATGAGAGGAGCCTCCCACTTGCCCTTGTACTCGGGGTTCTTAATCAAAGGACGGGTCCAAGTGCCACAGCCAGAGACATCGGCACACTTGGGGTTAGGGACAGTGGGAGCGAGCCAGTCTCCATCCTCCTCGTCATCCCAATCTTCGGGCTTCTCGGCCTCGGGGTCGGGAATGCTCTCGGCCTCGTCCTCCAACCAGTCGGCGGGCTGGGTGGCCTCCTCATCGACAATCTCGAAGGGAGCCTCTTCATCCCAGTCGGCGGGCTTGGTGGCTTCGGGGTCGGCGATCTGAACCTCATCGACCCAGTCGGCGGGCTTAGAGTCCTTGGGGTCATCAATCTCCTTCTCAGGGTTGACGGGAGGGTTGAAGTCCTCGAGGAGGCTGCCCTTCTTGGCAGAGTCACCGTTGATGAGGATCTCGAAGGTCTGATCGGGGTTGATAATCAGGGTGTAGAGGGAGGTGACCTTGTTAGTGCGGGCCACGGGGGGAGTCTTAAGGTGCTTCTCCTCGTACTCGCCGGTCTTCGGGTTCTTGTGGCGGAAGATGAAGTGAACCTTGTTAGTGGCACCGCACTTGTCAGGGCCGAACATGATGATATAGGGAGTGGCGTTGGAGAACTCCTCCTGGTGGAGCTTCTTGTTCTCCTGGAGAAGCTTAAGGTAGGCACCGCCGCAAACCAGGGAGTCTAACACAGGACAATTCCAGTCAGCACATAAAAACGCGAGCAAATGTGGACAGTCGCGACTCACTCTGCGGCTTGACCTCGTACTGAACCACCAAGGTCTTGCCCTTGTTGTCAATCTTCTTGGGGAACTTGGCGGAGATGGCGTGGTGGGCAGCAGCGTTCTTCACGACCAGACCCTTATCGCCATCAATACCCTTGAAGACAGAGGGCTCCTCAACTGCCCATTCACCGACGTAAGCCCACTCCTCCTCGGACTTGTCATCCTTCTTCGCGTGGGAAGGCTTCCACCGAGACTCCCAGTCGTCTGTGAATTGCTCCAGGAAGGGGGCTTTGAGGCTAGTGGGCTTTGCATAAGTTAGCAGGAGGAAATTGAGAGGGCGTGTTTACAGATGCATACGGTGAAGGCAGGCTTGTCGATGACGGTGGTATCCGCAGTCTCCTCCTCCGCATGGGCGTAGCCCATGAGGCTAGCGGAGGAGACCAGAGCCGATGTCAATGCAGTGTTAAAGCGCATATTGTAAACAACAAATAGAAGGAATGAAAGTGGAGCGCACAGCACCAGAATGAAGAAAAGAGGAGATGGTTTTATAGAAAGGGCACTGGGGGGAAGGTCCAGGTGGCCTCTTCCCTAAGCTCCCCAATCGGGACTAGGGCGTGTACACACGGGTTTCGATCTTGTTCTACAAGCACATAATTGGTCCTCTTTAACAAAAAAAAAAAAGAAAGGTACGGTAAGGTAATTTATGTGATATTATTGTTTTTATTTATTGCTCTTAAATAATAACAACTGTAGGCATTCATTCGTTTAATTTGCATTTAATTTACATGTTATTTACATTTCATGTTTTTCCCCATACCTCCTTGATCGGCGGATATCCGTACATAAATGGGCGGAAGCTAGCTTACCCTCTTATTCGTATCTACAAACATACAACATACACAATGTAACACATTGTTTTTATATCCTCGGAAATACACTTTGTAGCCCTGTATTCTACATGTAACCGCTAAGCTCATTTCATCCTACTCTCCATGGATTTAACTATCAACTTTGCATAGATGACACATGCTTGCGTTGTGGATGCCTTAGGCAGTAACACTGAGATTCATATAGTCCATCCTCCTTCTCACTAGTCCCTTTCCTCTCCAATCGAGTTTGTGCCATCTTATACGATGGGAAAGTTCTTATGCCACAAAGTGGGAGCCCTCCCCGATTCCGCCTTTATAAGAATCTAGTCCCAAGTTCCCATTGAAGATACCAAGTTCCTAAGCCCCGAAGTTCGAGCTCAACAACCAGTTCCTCCTTACCAGCACGATGAGATTACGGCATTGAAAAGGTTTAAGGAAGGTGGCTGCACAGTTGTGCTCGAGCTTCTTGGGTACAGCGAAACTGTTCAAGGCAAAGATGGACTCGTGCCTGGAGGGTACATCACGGACCTCATATGGGACAAAGTCCCAGGACAGTCGTCGTCAAGAGAACTCTTCTGGTCATTTAACAAACCCAGGTGAGATCTCATCCGTCGAAAGTTTCGAGCTGCTTATGAGTAAGTTCACAAAACCCTCATTAGTTATAAGTAAATCTAACATAAACAATGGGGCTTTGACATCCTTCGGCTACCTGTCAATGATAAAAATTCCAGCTAGGCTTATTTGGGACCAGGATTCTTGCCAGCTACTCATCTCTAGATTCTCAATGGCGATCAAAGTCGACTCTACCAAGAAATGGAATGATGACTTTTACGCAATGTATCAGCTGATGAACCGACCCAAGATTGGCTGGGAGGATATCGCTCGATGGGAGGGGTGAGAAGAGAAGACAAAACACCGAGTGACACTAATTGATAGAAGACTCCACTCTACTTATAGAGATGCAAGTAAGCTCCCCTCTCTTATTGAGGTGCGAGTATCTCCTACGATGATTGGCAATATCTACATATGTATGGATTATCCAATGAGTTATGTCCCGGGTGGTACCCTTAGTCCCCTGTAACCCTTCGGGTGCTAGGCCCCACTTGATATGGTACATACTCCCTCTGGCATACATAGTACTAATAGTAACCATCCCAAGTGCACCAACACCGGGTATGGTGGTGTTGGTGTGCTTAATTATAGTCAAGTCTTGCAAACGAATTCTTCCATGAAAGACGTGCGAGATTCGTAAGATTCACTGTAAAGGAAAGCTCGAGTTCGAAAACCATAGTGATATTGATATGTGCTATGGACAACAGACAGTGCTACAATACGCGAACAGTGGTATTCGGAGTGAAGCGGAAATAGAAGGAAAACACAAAGCTTCTTAGCTTGCTAGGCATCATCATCAGTTGCAGCATGGCATAAACAAACATCGCGAAAGGGTTGTCCCATAATGAATACAAGCCAAGACGAGATAAAACAGTGCTAGTTTCGGGGTTGTGAAAAAGGCACACTACAGATGAGGGATATCAAGCGTCATCCTCAGCGGCCAGGAGCCCGGATTCTGGGCCTGACGCTGTGGGCTCTGTCGGAGCAGGTGCATCGCTCGCCTCGGGAGGTACATAATACGGAAGCCCTTCCTCGCCAGCGTCTAGGCGCAGGAGGAATGTCTCCCAGAGTTCGATCAACTGTATTTGGGGTTAGCTGGGTGAGATAAACCCGCAAAGGTTGACAAGAATTTACCTCTTTCTGAGCCTCGACTGCGCTTTCAAGGAAAGTTTCCACGCCGGACTTGAAGTCCTCCACCTTCTCCTTCTCAAACCGTTGTAGTTCGTTTCGCATAAGCCGGCCCATATCCTCGAAGAGCAGCCGCGTTTGGTGGACTTTGCGCTCTGCATCTGCGACGTCGGCGTTGATTTGGTTCAAGCGGTCTTGCTGAGTCTTTCCCTGGCGGAGTAGCTTGTCTTGGTTATTCTTGCGCTTCTGTAGGTCAGACTCTGCTGCATGCCAGGTGTGGAAAGCCTTCTGCCGTTGTGTGAAAGCCATCTTGACACTTCCAATTAAACGGATATATTCATCGATCGTGATTCCAAGCGTCAGAACATCCTGCTGCGCCTGTCGGTCATAAAGTTCCCGAATGCGCAATTGAAGTTCTGACAAGCCCTCCAATGGATAGGAGAGGGCGGGAGACAGCTCGACGGCAGATAAGGCATGCAATGAGCTCGAAAAGTCGCCTGCGGCCTCGGCCAGGCCCTTTCGTTGTAGGACCACAGTATCCATTGATTTCAATAGAGCCTTCAGTTGGTTTTCCAATGCATCCAAGTAGACTTTTCGGTCGTGGAACCACTATCTACATGTGAGCGGGCGAGACCATTGTATCAGAAACGATTCACTTACATCGTCGTGTTCCACAAATTTGGTTCCTCCACCAACGGAGATACCAAAGGAGCTCAGCATTCCCTTGCTTGGGCCAATATCGGGCTCTCGGTTTTCCTTATTCTTAACATCAACGGTGAAAGCTTCACTTTCCAGGAAGATTTTCAGATCGCCATCATGTTGAAGAATAGGATGACCGGCAATCTTGTTAAGCATTCGTTCCAAAGCAGCTCTCCTCGACTCTACAAAGTTGGTATCAAAGCGGCCAACTGCTTGCTTCTCGGGCGGAGGCGCAACAACCACTCCCGGGTTACTGCTGTGCAGGGAGTTGTAGAGCCAGAGGAAGTCACGGTATCGACGGCTGACAGTGAACTCAGGTTGGCGATAGGCCTTAGATGTTGTCTAGCCATACCAATTACTGTCAGTTTTTTCGTTTCCCAATCTGTAGGTTTCATGTCCATATAGTCCAATTACCTTCGTCGAAACTTGATAAACGATATGACTGCTTGTCAGGTCTCCCACTTTGTGTGGATCTCCGACATAGATCTGGAAAGTGGGCTTCGCAGCCTGCTCCACGCTCACGCTAGGCTGCGTTTGTCTTTTCGGTCCATCCGCTTGCACCGGCGGTTGCACAGGAGGAGGTCCTCGGAAGACCGCGCTCTCCTCTTCCACATTGGCCGAGTCCGCTGCTCCCACTCCGTCGGATGCCTGGGAGGGAGAGGAGAGTGGTCGCGCGCCACGTCCGGCGAACGGCTCCTTCTGGGGCGGTGCTGGTGCCTCGTCTGTGGGTGTTGGGGTGGCCTCAGCGGGCGCTTCTCCCAATGGGCCGAGGGGGTCAACGGAATCATCGACGGATTCGAGTTTAGTGGCTTGTGCGCTGATCTTGCGTGTGCCTCGGGGGCCTCTTCTTCCTGGTACGCGGACAGCGGGTGAGCTGTCTGACGTGGGGGGTTGTGCAGCTGCTGTATGGTAGAGTGCGCTTAGTGAGAGGTCGTGGAAAGAGCAAGCCAGATAAAAACATACCACCTCCCTGAGTGCTAGGTTTGGAGGAGCCATCGCTGGGCTTGAACTGTGAAGGCTCATCTGCATCATAAATCAGACCGCGATTCAAAGAGCTGTGTGGTATCATGACTGCCTACCGCCCCACGGGGAATCTCCAGAGTCGAGATCCATTGATACCGTTGTAAGATCGAAGCGAAAGGAAGGGTATAACGGCGAGAAGACGAATCAACTAATTAATATTAATGGTTCAATCGGAGCTTCGAGGATGCGGCATGGAGTTGGAGAGGGAGCTGGTTGGAGTGGAGGCCGATCCGCATCCTTAGTCACTCACGGGATCCAGAGTGCCACCCCATGCGGTGGTTCTCGTCTTTGACTTTGTTCAACTACTTTTGCCATTGGCACTGCTTTGTGATAAGCTGGAGACTATTTATTTATACTTATGTCGAATACAGTTCACTCGTTGCCAGCCACTACCCGATAATCTCTGCCGAGCCCCTGGCTAGCTTGTTCTAAATGTCCTTGTCGCAATACGTCACATCATTTCAATTGGAGCTTCTTACATAGTAATGTCGGGGTAATCTATCCCCGATTTCCCAGCCCAAATCACCATCGGCATAAAATAGGTCATTAATAGCATGCAGTGTCTATTTGACCCACGGGAGGCCCAGCTTGTGCATTTCCACCGCCAGCTGGAAGATGTAATCCAGACTCTCACACTGAGTCTTCGCCTTGGCAGTGTTATCACCCCAGACGTAACTGCAGGAGAAACCAGCATTAGTATACCGCATCAGTATCACATGGAGTGAGGTTGCTATCACGTACATTCCGTGCCTCCGGACAAGCACCGCGTATGTGTCCGGATACTTGTTCATGGCTGCCTCCAAGCCGCTGGTGAGGTCCTCTTCGAAGGCGGTGTTTTCGATGATGGGAATCTTCAAAGTATCGAAGAATCCGAGCATGCCCTTTCCTTTACCACGGGGAATACCCTTGATCTGCTCGATGTTGCTGATCTCGAAGCAAGCATCAGGGCCCTTCTCCCGCTCCACCAACAGGGTGACTAGAACTGCCCATTGCGAGTGAGTGTGGATGCAGCAGCCAGCACCCTGCTCAAAGGCAGTCAGGAATAGCGGGGTACAGGCGGAGGGGTTGAGCTTGAGGGGCTTGCGGATGTAGTTGCGGTCCGAGGCAGGGTATTTCGGGGTGGGCCATTGGAGCACGAAGATGTTGTTGGGCTGCATCAATTCCTTCTGAACTCCAGACGGCGCGATAAAGATGTGGTCACCTTGGCGGATCGAGGTCTATTTTTCCATCAGCGGGGCACCGTTGTAATTTTTTTTCCTTTGCAAGTAGAAGCTTACACCACCTCCGGTGCCGGTAACCCATCCCCAGTTGTAGAATTTGCGACAGAGCTCGGGGATAAGGTTAGCGGGGTGTTCGGGGTCCTCAGACTGGACCAAGTGGTCATTGTTCGTTGCGACGGTTTGGTCTGCGGGGCACATGATGGGCTGCGACAGATTAGCTTAGGTTATGAGTAGATAATTCAAAAGTTGGGAGAGGACCTAGGTACGATTGCAACCAATTTCGCTATTGTCCGAGGTTTTGCGCCAAGAGTGCCGAGTAACCAATGGACGTTTAAGCGGGGGGAAGATGGAAATCTGCCACTGAACAATCATAATCATGTTCAGCACGTCATTTAGTATGCCTCAACTATAAGATAAATTATATTAGTTATCTTCCCTACTTGGATAATAGTTCTCATTATCGCCGAAAGAGTCCTCCGCGTCCTCCGCGTCATTATATGTAGCCTCCCCTAGCTCATGTTGACAGAGCCACTCTGCTATCAAGTAGCAGAATGTCCATGAAACTTGGTACTTTGCAGGCTGGGTCGAGTGTTGTTGCTGAGGTGAGGTTATGGATGCTAATTCGTGTTTGATTTTACTTTCTTGGCCTCAAGGCCGTGGGACTTGGGTCTGTTGGTTTGTGTTAGATATATATCTGGCTGTATGAGACTGACGAGCAGGATGGACCAGGTGCTGTATCGCAAGTCATCGAATTTGTCCTATCTCAGCGGATTTGGAGAAAGAAGAAAGAAATGCTTTGAAGTCCCATGGCATAAGCATAGACTTGACAATTATATCGCATGGATGAGAGAAAAGATGAATTCTTGGTATAATACAGCAGGCTCATACCAGGCATATGTATATTGTACAAGATCAAAGACACAAAAGAAAAACACAAAAAGAAGACAAAAGAAGATCCCAACTCCCATCCAAGCAGCTCAAACCAGACATTCTGATTCAACCCAGTCAATCCAAAGCCCACTATTTCTTCGTGAACTTAGGAGACTTCTTCTCAGGCGGCGGCGGCGCCTCATTCTGTCCGAAAGCACTAATCAAATCAAGCAAGTTATCCTCCTCTTCCTGCTCCGCCTTAGCCTGGGCCTTCGCCTCCGCCTCAGCCTGCTTAGCAGCAACGGGATCCTTAGCCGCGTCTTCTTCAACAGGTGCGCTGGCATCA